AATTTGTGTGGTGGGGGAGCTTCTGAGCTGAAAGAGGCCCTAGAACAGAGGCTAGAAACCTGAAAGTGACTTTAAGACATAGAATGTTGGAACACAAAGGACCTTAGAACACTGAATGTCACAGCTAGGAAGAACCTTAGGACATACAACGTCAAAGCTTGGAGGGACCTTGGAACACGGAATGTCAGGACTCGAAGGGGCTCTAAAACACAGAATGCCAGAGCTGGGAGGGGCCTTAGAACAGAGAATGTCAGAGTTGGGCGGGGTCTTAGAACACAGAATATCAGAGCTGGGAGGGTTCTTAGAACACAGAATGCCGGGACTGGGAGGGCCCCTAGAACGTGCAATGTCAGCACTGGAGAAGGCCTTAGAACCTGAAATGGTAAAATAAAGAATGTTGATGCTGGGTGATGCTTCTACATAGACCATAGAACTTAGAAAGGACCTCACAGTCCATATCGTCCATTTTACAGAAGAGGAAGAAAGCCAAGGTTCAGGGAGTGTTAAAAGGAGTAAAGACAGGGGGATGTGACTTTTGTCCTGTGCGTTGTCAGTCTTCTTTTACCAGTGAAATTCACTTAAATCCTTTTCATCTAGGCCTCACCCTTTGTTTTTAGTCTTCTCTAAGCTAATCCCCAGAAACATTCCCCCTGGGAAAGAGTGAAAATGAGAGGGGCTGGGCTTCCATGAATGACCACCCCCCATAAGGCAGCTACAATCCCATGATGCCATTCTCCCAGCTCGAGTGCCTGTTTTTCTTCAAAATTTCATAATCCTAAGAGATGGAAGGGGCCTCAGAAGACCTCTGGTCCATCCTTTAGTTCCTTCTACAATATCCGTGACTAACCATGAGTTCCCTGCTTGCAAACTGCCCTCAAGGGACAGCCCACTGTTTCCTGAGGCTGATCTTAGCACTATCCATCCCCTCTCTCTCCTAGCTCTGGGCTCCACACTCCTGTCACTTCTGCCAAGGACTCCATTCACCTTTCTTGAATACCCCTCCTCTCTGTACGGCCAATTAGAATATACTCGCTCCTTGAAGGCAGGGACTGTCTCACTTCAGCATTTCTCTTCCCCAGTACCAAACACAGTCCTCAGCATATGGCACATGCACTTAGTAATTTTTCAGTCATTCATTTACATAGAACCAAAATCAGCCTCCCTATAATCTCAACCCATTCATTCGTTCATTCATTGCCCTTCTGGGCCAAAGAGACGCAGTCTGATGTTTCTTCCCCAGGCAGCCCTGGAGATCAAGGCGTGTCCTTCTGAATCTTCTCTGGTCCGCACATCCTCAGTTTGATTTGAATGGAGGTTCAGTCATCATATGGCATAGTTCATATTTTTACCTAGAAAGTTATATAATTGTGATATAATTGGTGCATCTGAGAGCAATTTTAAAGAGAGGGAGTAATGGACAGGGGGAGGGTGAAGGGTTACCTTCTTAAGTGATCTTGTACTCGTCACCAAAGGACTCCAGAAAATATTTATGGTCCTTAATTATAAGCAAACACTAGTGTGGGAGTGCTTAGCCTGGAATCCATGGAAAAGGCAGATTTCAGGGGCTCCATGAACTTGGATGGGAAAAAGTGATATCTTTATTTTTTACCAACCTCTAGCATTTCCCTCAATTACAAATGTATAACAAATGTTATTCTGAGAAGGGGTCTGTAGGCTTTACCAGACTGCCAAAGAAGTCTAGGACATTCAAAAGATTAAAAACCCCTGCTCTAGAGGAAAGAATGCTAGCAATAGAATCAGATGTCCTGGGTTCAAATTCCACCCCTGACACTTAATATCTGCGTGACTTTGAGCAACATCCCTGAGCCTCAGTTTCTTACTCTGTAAAATGTGGGGGTTGGGCTAGAGGGTCTCTGAGAACCCTGCCAGCTGTGTTTGTAATCCTGTGATGTTGTGAACTTTAAAAGTTGGTCAAGTAGACTGTTCAATTACCCTTACCAATCTGAGGCGTCAGCCAAAATGATTGTCTCAGCAGATCACATCATGTGTTAGACAGCGACACCTACTGCTGATGTTTGACATTACACTCCAGGTCTTCTAAGTAGAAGAATATTCTCTTCGATTCAATTAAATAGTTACTACACTTCTGTAATGTGCAAGGCACTGTACTAGGCACTGGGGACCCAAAATGAAACATCCCCTGCCCTCAAGGAGCTTATGTTGTACAGAGAGAATATACTATAACACTGGCTAGAGACCCATGCCTAGAACCCGCTAGAACGCTCCTCATCTCTGGCCTCCTGGCTTCCTTCTAATATCAGCTAACATCCCACTTTCTACAAGAAGCTTTCCCAGTCCCCTTTCCTCTCAGTGCCTTCCCTCAGTGAGACTATCTTCAATTTATCCTCTCTACATAGAGTGTTTGTACATATACGTAGCGTGTTTGCATGCTGTCTGCCCCATTAGAATCCTTCAGAGAAGGGAATGTTTTTCACCTTTCTTTGTATCATCCATGCTTAGCACAGTGCCTAGCACATAGTAGGTGCTTAATAAATGCAAGCTGGGTTGGGTTGAGTTGAGGAAGACAATATGTAAACAGATAAATACAAAATAATTTCAGGAAAGAGAAACCACTTAACTGAGCATCAGGAAAGGTTCTGGGTAGGAGGAGGTCTGTTGTACTTTTTGTTCACTCACATCTGATTCTCCCTGACCCCATTTGGGGTTTTCTTGGCAAAAATACTGGAGTGATTTGTCATTCCTTCTCCAGCTCATTTTACAGATGAGGAACTGAGGCAAACAGGCGCAAGTGACTTGCCCAGGGTCACACAGCTAGTAAATGTCTGAGGTTGGATTTGAACTCAGGTGTTCCTGACTCCAGGCCTGGTACTCTATCCACCGAGCCACTGAGCCACCTAGCTGCCCAGGAAGGAAATATGAGCTGAATTTTGAATGAAGCTTTAGGAACGGAGTACATGCCAGATGTGGGGGACAGCCTGAGCAAAGGTGCAGGGGTGGGAGGTTGAATGCAAAGTAGGACAGTTTGGCTAGAACAGAAAGTGTGTGAAGGGAACGGGGTATGCTGATAAAAGTTTGATCTATATTATTAGCATTTTCTCTATCACTTTCTTAGATCTAAAAATCAATAAATCAAATAAATCAATAACAATATTAATAAATAATAAATAGATATTAAAATTGTTTAACATTAATAATTTTTAAAAACAATAAATCAAGCCCTCAGTGGTAATATTTGCCAGTTTCCAAGGCATAAAGCTTACATGGAAAATTTAACCAACAGCTCTTGAGCCAGCATAAGCTGGCTCTGGCACCTCTCTAGAAGTGGGGGTGGTAATATGAAATAAATCTTGAGAAGAAGGTAGAAGGCAGATGTGAAGGGCTTTCAAGTGCCTTCTAAATGTAATAGAGTCACCAAAGACTTTTGGAAAGGGAGTGAAATGATCAGATCTTTAAATTACTAATCAGATTTTCAAATTGCTAATTTGCTAACCACATGGAGGACAGATTAAAGAGATGAGAGGTGGGAATCCCGGAAACCAATCAGGAGGTTTCTCAGTGTCCAGGTGAGAGGTGTTGGGGCCTGAATTGGGGAAGAGTCCGAGTGTAACGAGGAAGGGGCAGGTATTGTGGAGGGAGGTAGAATCAGTAAGGCTTAGCAAGTGATTGAATAGAGAGGGTTGTGGGGAGGGACAATGAAGGGCCAAGGTGACTACAAGGCTTTAAACTGGGGTAACTAAAAAGACAAACACAGACTCGGAGATTCAGAGCTAGAAGGAACCTGAGAGGATGTTTGGTGGGTCCCTTCACAGAAATGGAGACGTTAGGAGGAGGGGGAAGCTTTAGGGGGAAAGATAATAAAGAGTTCCGTTTTGGACAGGTTGAGTTTGAGATGGCTGTAGGACAAACAGATGATTTCCAGCAGGCAGCTGGGGATGAGTTACTGGAACTCAGGAGCTGTAGGAAACATCTGCCTGGAGGTGATAATTGAACTCAATCCACATGTCCCTGGTCGAACCCCTTTGAATGGTGAAATGGAAAGAATACTGGACCCCTGAAATCATGAGAACCCAAGTTCAGCCTCTAGCTCTAACTCTTACTAACTTTTTGACCATGGACATTCTTTGAGCCTCAGGTTATCTCCTCTGTAAAATGGGGCCATCATACTTGAATGATCTACTTCACAGGATTGGTGTGGAGGAACTAGTTGAGCAGTAGCTGCAGCAGCATCCTGACCATCCCCAAGCAAGCCTTCCCTCCACTGAGTTCAGAGCATCCTATCTCATCCACAGTTTACAGCACAGCCATTTATACCCATTTCTTTGGTTCCTTTCAATTGTCTAGGGCTTTTCTTTTTCTTTTTTCTTTTAGTGTCCTTATCTCTTTTATTAGCTTAGAAGATCCCATTGTAATTTAGGTCATTGTAACTTAGAAGGCAGGATGTCAGAGGTAGGAGGGCTCTTAGAACACAGAATGCCAGAGCTGGGAGGGCCCTTAGAACACAGGATATCAGGGCAGGGAGGGCCCTTAGAACATAGGATGTCAGGGCTGGGAGACTCCTTAGAACCCAGAATGTCAGAGCTGGGAGGGCCCTCAGGACACAGATGTCAGAGTTGGAAGGGAGCCTTAATAGCCGTGTGACCTTAAGCAAGTAAAAGGATTGTAGAATCAGACATTTCAAGTTAGAGAAGGCCTTAGAAGTCATTGCCTCCAGCCCCTTTATTTTACAGGTGAGGAAACTTATGGACAGAGAAGTGAAGTTCAAGGTCAGCTGGGTAAAAAGTGGCAAAGCCAGGCTTCCAGCCTCGATGTCCGACTCCAAATCCAGGAACCTCACTTTCTTCCTCTAAAGACAGGGACTCTGACCCCTGGGACTGGCCCCCTCAGAGTCGTGGGGCTCGAGTGAGGCACAACTTTGAGGACTCTCCAGTTATCAGCTGGGGTGGTGGAGACAGTGGTGATGCAGGGCTTCTTCTCCTTTCCTGTTACAACCTCTGACTGTTGTCTTTGTTCCTTGGCAGGACCTGAGTGAGTACAATGCCACTGCAGTCAAAAGCCCCACCAACACAGTGACTGTGCAGGGCCTCAAAGCGGGCACCATCTATGTCTTCCAGGTGCGGGCACGCACCGTCGCGGGCTACGGGCGCTACAGTGGCAAGATGTATTTCCAGACAATGACTGAAGGTGAGAGACTCCTCACAGGCAGAAAGGAAGGCCTGGGAAAGAAGGCCCTGGGTACTTGGGAAGAGAGAGAGCGAGACAGGCAAGCAGCCTTCCCAAAGAGCTTCAGGCTCCCAGGAGCCTTGGGCTGGGGTGAAACCTGGGCAGCCTGAGTCTGGGCATTGTGGGACTGAAGGAGAGAAGGGATTCCTCAGACACAGCGGATCAGGGAAACTCGAGAGACCTGGGCTCCAGGCACTATATCCTCTGGCGCAGCCCCTCACCATCCTGAACCTCTGTGGTGCAGGGCAAAGGACATTGGGCTCTTTTCCTAGTTCTGCTGTTAATCACTTCGGGAAATACTGCACTTTTCTAAACCACAGTTTCCACATCTGTAGAACAGTAGGCTGGTCTAAATAATCCCTAAGGCTCTTTCCTGCTCTGACATTTTATGTTCTAACAGTCTGAGTTCTAATGCCCCTCCCCACCTAGCTCTGATCTCCTACTTTCTTACATCCCTTCTAGTTGTGACATTCTATGTTCTAACAGTCTGTATTCTAAGCCATCCCTCGAGCTCTTATATCCTATGTTCTAACATCCCTTCCAGCTCTGACATTCATTCTGCTTTCTAACATTGTGTCCTAAGGCCTTCCCCAAGCTCTGATTTCATATGTTCTAACAACCCTTCCCCATTCTGATGTTCCATGTTCTAATACTCTGTGTTCTGACACCCTCCTCAAGCTCTGATGTCGTATGTTCTAACATCCTTTCTAGTTCTGACATTCTATGTTCTAAGCACCCTTCTAGCTCTGACATTATACATTGTAATACTCTGTGTTCTAAGGTCCCTTCCAAAGTTGGATATCCTATATTCGAACATCCCTTCTAGCTCTGACATCCTAAGTTCTAGAGACCTTTCCCACTCTCACATTCTGTGTTCGAAGGACCCTCCCAACTCCGACATTCTGTATTTTAAGGGCCCTCCAGGCTCTGACATTCTATGTTCTAGGACCCCTTCCAAACTCTTAAGAATCTGAGTCCAAAATCTTATGATGGAATAAGTCATTCATGACTATTTACCAAGTGCCCAGTGTGGTAGGTGAACACAGAGTCAGGTCAAGTCAACAAACGTTTATTAAGCACCTACTATGTGCCCTGCAGGCCCTGTGCAAAGAAAAGCAAAAGATAATCCCCGCCCTCCTGGAGCTCACAGTCTAGTGGGGGAGACACATACAGACAATCACGTGTAAACAAGCTATACACAGGATGAATTGGAGGTACCCTGGCCTGGCCTCAAAGATCTTATAGTCTAGTTGGAGAGACAAGATGTCTAATAATATAATAGAGCATGTGATGATTTCCCGAATACTCTGAGAATTCAGAGGAGGAGGAGATGACTGTGGCCTGTTGTCATGGAAGACATTTCCAAGTTGCACAGCTCACTTTACCTGGCACTTGGGGGTAGGGATCAGGGGAGAAGGAGGAGGGGAAACAAAGAACTAATGATTGATTGCCCTGGAAGAGCTCCCAGTACGGGCTGGGGATGGGGGACAGGAGTCGGAAGAAAAGAGGAGGGAAGGATTTGGGGAGGATGGCTTGACCCAGCCTCTCGCGTCCTTCCCCAGCTGAGTACCAGACAAGCATCCAAGAGAAGCTGCCTCTCATCATCGGCTCGTCCGCGGCGGGGCTGGTCTTCCTCATTGCCGTGGTCGTCATTGCCATCGTGTGTAACAGGTGCGCCTCCCCCCGCCCTGGCCCCTTCCGTCTGTCCACCCGAGTGCCGGGCTCTGTCTCTCTGTCTAGGCACTACAGGTATGCCTCCTCCCCGGGGTCCATCAGCTTTAGAACAGAGCAGCCATTGTCCACAAGGTGTTGTCTAAGTGCCACCTCCCCCCCCCCCCCCGAATAAACAAACGCACAGCACTTTCCTAGCCTTCACTTCCTCCAAGGGGGTTAGACCAAATGACCCGTCAAGTGGCTGAGGCTCCAAAGGCGATGATGAACGATCCTTTGATCACCCTGCCTCTCCCCCAACTGACCCATTATTGGTGTCTGAAATTCTTCCATTAGAGTTTTATTTCTTTGGGTTGGGCATTGGACCTCTCTCTGAAAAAAGCAAAGCCGTCACTGAGAGGGGAAATAGTCTATGTCCCTGAGACCAATTGGTGAAAATTGCTTGGAGGGAGATTTTCTGACAGCCAGAGCTGTTTTCAAGTAAAGTGGGTGCTTCCTTTGAGAGGGAGTGAATCCCTGGTCCCAGGCTCAGAGGCTTTTTGTCAGGGATCCTGGAGGAGGAGATTCAGGCCTTGAGGTGGTGTTAGGCTCAGTGGTCTCAGAGTTCCTTTCCACCTCTGAGATTCCAGGTTTCTTAAACCATAGTGGGAATAAGCTGGTCAGATTGCTGTCCAAAAGGACCAGGCAGCAGAAAGGTCTGGTCATAGGACAGATCTGCCACTTACTAGCTCTGTGACCCTGGGAAAATGACTTTACTAATCCCTCTGAGCCTCAGTTTCCTCATTTGTAAAATAAGGGAATTTCTAAGGCCCATTGTAGCCTATGAAAGGGCCCATCCTCTAAATCAACCAATAGACATTTATTGAATACCTACTATGTGGCATGTACCACTCTGATCACAGTTGCTTCTAGTTAGTGATTCTATCCAATTCTATTCCAATATCCAATGAAGTACAATGTAAGCAATTTGAGGGCAGGAAGGGATTATATTTTAGTTCTTGTATCCCCAGCACAGTGCCTGGCACATAGTAGGACATGCATAGAGATTGTACCTGTGATTTCATTGGTATAGGAAACACCCCTGACCAGTGTAGCTTGGCACCTTCTCTTTAAGGTGCAGAGAAACTTTAAGAGAGTTGTCTAGAACACTGAAAGATTAAGTTACTTACCCAGAGTCACAAAGCCAGTATCTATCAGAGGCAGGACTTGAACCCAGGGTCATTGGCTTCAAGGCCTGCTCTCTCTTTCCTTCCTGCTTCTCACCAGATCACATAGTAGGCACCTAATAAATGCTCATTGAATTGATGTATTGGGGTGCTGCCAAGTCCCATGCTTGGCTCTGGGGGTACAAAAAAGGTCTGACACAAGGCCCTGCCTTCCAGAAGCTTACAGGACAGACAGGAAGGCACTGGGGGGATAAGGGTTAGAAGCATGCTCCTTGACAGTGATTTCCTGGGGTTTAGGAGGAGAGGATGGGACCAAAGGGAAGATGGCCAGGAACCAGAGAGGGGAGGGATGAAGGGAAAGGGGAGCAGGTGTTTGGAAAATGACTGGGAAAGGGGGCAGAGTAGCCCATTACTGGGGATGGAAGGCCTGGGTGAAGGGAGCTTGTGGTGGGAGAGGGAGGGGGCTGGAGCCTGAGTAAGGGGCCCTGGGGGTCACTGCCCAGCACGCCTCCCAGGCTAAGGCTCCCAGCCTCCTCCCTGCCTGTTCAGGTGGCTTCAGCTCATGGTTTTTGTTCCAGAAGGCGGGGGTTTGAGCGTGCCGACTCCGAGTACACCGACAAACTGCAGCATTACACCAGCGGCCACAGTATGTATGCACTGGCCCCAGCAGGGGGCTCTGGGGGGACGTGGGATCCCGCGGTACCTCTGGTCTGCCTGAGAGGCCTTCAAGGAGATGGAGATGGAGCTGGAAAGGGGAGGCAGAGCAGGAAGGTGAGCAGAGATGGGGGCTGGAAAGTCAAGAGAGGCCGGGAGATAGGAGAGATGACTGGCCAGAGGGGCGGGGTGGGGAGTGATCGGATGAGGTGGTCGCAGTGTGGAGAGGGGATGATGGACCAAAGCAGGGGAAGAGGGGGGAGAGGGAGAGAGGGAGAGAGACAGAGACAGAGAGAGAGAGACAGAGACAGAGAGAGAGAGAGAGACAGAGAGAGAGAGACAGAGAGAGAGAGAGAGAGACAGAGAGAGAGAGAGAGAGAGAGAGAGAGAGGAAGGCTAAGGAGATGAATAAGATGAGCTGGGTGTTCAAAAGTGAACTAAGGGGATGGGGAGGAAAATGAGGGGGGCAGGAGGTCAGAGATGGGGCAAAGAGGCGAGCAGGTAAAGGTCACGGAGCAGACAGAGACAGAAGCAAGGAGAGAGCCCAGGGAGGTGAGCAGAGAGGGCCGGTAACTCAGGGGAGGGACAAAGAGCTTATGGGGGCTTATGGGGGGCAGGGCCTAGGAGATCAGGAAGGAAAGAAGCCCGGAAGGTAAATTGAGGAGGAGTCTGGAGAGGGGTCAGAGACCTGAGCAGGGGATGGGACAAGTCGGGGAGCAGGGAAGGGAATGGAAGAAGAAGCACATGGGATAAATGTGTAAGAGCCTGGAGAGTGGTTGAGAAAGGAAATTAGCCCCCCAGTGAACAGGGCAAGAAGTGGACAGGGGTGGGAGGTCCGGACACAGTGAAAAGGGCCCGGCTTGATGAGCACAGGAGGGGGCAGAGATAAGATGAGGCACACCTGAGGTTGGGGGAGGTAGAGAGTGAGCAGGGAAAAGGAGGCAGAAGGGGGCTGATGCGAGGCCCAGACAGGTGAGCAGAGGAAGGCCTTACAGTTTCCCATTCTGCCTACATCCCTTCCCCTGTGGTTCAGGTCCAGGCTCTCCAGTGGGGGTGACTTCTTTGTCCCTGACCCCTCCAGTTCCAGCTCCAACCTTTCCCTGGGCTAGGAAGGAGAATGCACAGTGGGCCCCCATTCCAGAAATATGGGCTCCTCTTCTGAAGGGGCCTGGCAGCCAGGTTATAGCCCCAGGGCTTTTCTGTTCTGACCAGATGAAAAAGAACTGGCCCACAAGGACCTTAGAGGTGAGAACCTTCTATTCAGTAGCTGAATTCATTGCTGCAGGATCTGCAGAGGTTACATCTCCCCAAAGGCTGTAGGGTGTAGGCTAAAATCAGGGTTAGTGGTCTAGGAAGGCCCTGCTATTCCAAGGGCCCTTAGACTCAGTGAACTAGGCCATCTCCAATAAAGTCTAAGGCTAAGTAGTGGTGGTTTGACCCACCTGGTACATAGCACCTTCTGTGTCTCTCTGAAAATACTTTCCTGCATCTGCTAAGTGTGAAGAGTTTAATGACTTAAATTTTAACTTAGAATTTTAAACTCCAAGCTGTTAATTCTTTTCCTGAGTATTTATAATAGCTTCACTAACAATGTATTAGTATTCCTGTTTATGGAAAGGTTTTTGGTTCATTTGTTTTTTTGAAAGGAGAGCACTGAGGATACAAGTCGTAAAGCAAGTCAGCTCTTGCTCTCAAGAAAGTCACATTTAAGGACCTGAGTTCAAATCCAGCCTCAGACACTTGACACTTATTAGCTGTGTGACCCTGGGCAAGTCACTTAACCTCAATTGCCTCACCAAAAAGCAAAAAAAAAAAAAAAAAAAGTCACATTTAGGAGCTGCTGGTTTCTAGACACAAATGAAGGGAACAATGGGGAGGGAAAGAATGACAGATCATAAGACAGAAGGGATGACTGATGAAGCAGGTTAATGGAGAAAGCATTATCCTGTTCTATATAGTAGAAAGCATTTTAATTCCATACTTTCCTATCTTTATGAAGGTGTTATTTATATAGAAATGTTTTAGTTCTATTTCCCTCACAAAGGAACATACAAGTTATACTTTAAGTCAGTCTGCCTACTTACTAATTTAAGAAGCATCCACAAATGTGAACATTTGATAAATCATTTTTATGTAAGCTGGATTGTTGGAGCAAAATAGAACTTTTTACCAAAAAAAAAAAAAACAAAAAAAAACGAGCTGGCCCATTTGTGGTAAAAATATCACACAGCCAGAACTTAACTAAAGGGAATATCCTTAGAAAAACCCCTAGCCTGGGAATCAAGACATCTGGGGCCTCGGCCCAGCTCTGCTACTGTCCTTACTTAGGATAGTTACATACCTTCTCTGGGCCCCCGTTTCCTGATCTATAAAATGAGGAGCAATTCTAGACGATACTCAACTTGGAGTCAGAAGACCTGGGCTTAAGTCCTTGCTAGCCCAATGCCATTAGGCAAAACAAAGATCGTTCACTTCTCCAAGCCTCAGTTTTCCTATCTGTAAAATGGGTTGAATGACACTTGTATTTCTGGGAATGAATTAGTATGATCAGGGAGTGTTTAGAGGATCAAATGAAACCATCCATGTGAAATACTTTGTACCTTGTAAGATGGACACACACAAACAAATATAACACATGATAGGGTGTGGTGGGGGTCAAAGACATCAGAGTGCTTTGGGAATATTGGAGGTAGAGGGCATCAGGGAAGCATCCATGGAGGAGGCAGCTTGGAGACCATTCCAAACATGAAGTATAGTTTATGCAAATGTTTGGAGGTGAGAGATACAATTGTTGAGTTCAGGGGACAGCTGGGGGTCAGTTTAGCTGCAATGTAGAGTATACAAAGAGAAATACTGAGATGGAATCAAATGGAATTAATATCTGTAAAGCTCTTAGCATGGTGGCTGGCACTCAGTAGGTGCTTAATAAATGCTGATTCCAGGGGCAGTGGATAGAACACTGGCCTTGGAGTCAGGAGGACTTGAGTTCAAATCCTCCCTCAGACACATAATACTCCCTAGCTGTGTGACTCTGGGCAAGTCACTTAGCCCCAGTTGCCTTGCCAAAAAATAAAAAAATTCAAATAAAATAAATGCTAATTTCCTTCCCCACTGGGAAGAAAGCCTGGCTAGGCAAGTGAGAGTTACAGTTCACTCTAACTTTAAAGGCCAGGCAGAGAAATTTGTCTTTCATCGTAGAGGTAGTACAGAGTCCCTCAAAGTTTTGAATAGGAGAATAACATGGTCTGGAGGCGACCATGGATTTGGCAGCTGTGTGGAAGATAGATGGGAGCGAGGAGAGGATGGTGGTGACCAGTGGAGAGCGCCATTACTGTCTCTGGAGGCGATTACAGTTGCCAGATAGAAGCAATGAATGCTCCTAGACTATGTCCACCACACAGTAGGGCCCAATTGGGAGACCCATTCTCAGAAGAAAAAGAGAATACAGAATGTTAATGTTGGGAGGGATCTTAGAACATAGAGTGTTAGAGCGTTCAACAGCAAAGTTGGGATGAATGCTGGAACATAGAACAGAACTGGGATGGACCTTAGAACATAGAATGTCAGAGCCAGGAGGAAGCCTAAAACATAGAATGTCAGAACTGGAAGGGGCCTCAGAATATATAAAGACAGCCCTAGGAAGGACCTTATAATTCATCTTTATTTTGTAAAGAAACAAATTTATATTCAGAGGCAAAATGACATCATCATAGCTAGTATGTATGTGGTGCTTTGGGGCAGCTATATGGCAAAATGGGCCTGGAGTCACGAAGACTCATCTTCCAGAGTTCAAATCCAGCCTCAGACACTTACTAGCTGTGTGACCCTGGGTAAGTCACTCAACCCTATTTGCCTCAGTTTCCTCATCTGTCAAATGAGCTGGAAAGGAAATTGCAGACCACTCCTGTATCTTTGCCAAGAAAAGCCTAAATGGGGTCTCAAAGAGTTGGACACAACCGAAAAAACTAGACAGACAAATAATAAAATGTGGTGCTTAAGGTTTGCGGAGGGCTTTACAAATACTGTCTCACATTGCTTAAGTTAGTGGAACTGCTAGAATTCAGGACCCCTGACTGTCAGTGAGTACTTTGTGCTCCAGACAGCCTTCACGTTACCAGAATGCTCCCTACCCTGAGCATGCTGATGCACTAGGCCCTGACTGTCTATGCGGGCGAGGCTCAGGCTTCAAGTCATATTCCCAGCAATGATGCTGGCTTAGCTCAGAGCCATCCCACTCCCACACCCAGGCCACATTACAACCAATAGCCAGGTTTTCAATCGGATTGACAGCTAGGGTTTTGGGAAGGCGGGGGTAGGGCGTGCAACTGGGGAAGAGAATTTCTCTCCATGTAGCACTAACTAGCCCTTGTGGGGATTGAGTTTAGAAGCTGGGCCTCGTTAGCACCAAGCTCTAACCCACCAAGCTCCTGGCCCTGGCAGGCAATTAGAGCAAGAGAGATTTTCCCCCTGTTCTGCGGAGAGAGAAGATCAAAGCCTCAGAGCTGGATACAGACAGGTAAGCTGCAGGCCTTTGCAAGGAGAGGAATCTGCAGATCTTCTAAGGCTAAAAACCTAGAGAAGAAAGGGGAGGGGTTTTTGTTTTTTTTTTTCCCAGGGAGCTGACACCAGTGCCTGGCTAGGACTAATTCAGGAAGGGAGAAACCAGGCTGACTGACTATTCCAGGAGGAGTCTCCACCTGTTTCCTGACTGTGAATGCAGTCAGCCCCAGGTCCGAGGGCTGGGTTCTAGACTGCCTTTCACAACCAGTCTGTGCACTGAGAGTGAGCTAGTTACTGACCATCCAAACCTCAGGGATTTCCAGAGAACAGTACAGTAATACTGCTTCCTGTTTCTCCGAATGCTTTACAATTCACCAGGGGCAAAGTCCCAGATTCAAATCCTGGCTGCTACTGACAAATTATCTGATCCTGAGCAAATTGTTTTCTCTCTCAAAATCTGGTTTTCCCCTCTGTAAAGTTCAAGAGTGAAACAAGATAATCTCTGAGGTCCTTTCTAGCTCTAAAGTCTGTAATCAAGGAGCTGGGTTTGAAACCTGCCTTGGCTGTTTGCCTCCAATCGGAGGCAGCTGGGTGGTGTGGTGGATAGAGCCCTAGACCTGGAGTGAGGAAGATCCGATTTCCAATACTGCTGTAGACATTAGCTGTGGGACCCTGGGCAAGTCACTGAACCACTATGACCCTCAGTTTCCCCATTTGTAAAAGGGATCCATTAGTATTGTAGTATCTACCTCACAGGGTCTTCGTGATGATCGATTTGCAAGCATTCAAGCACTCTATAAATTCAGTTGTAATTGTTATTTTAGGCTGTTGTTGTTCAGTTGCGTCCAACTCTCGGAGACCCCAATTTGAGTTTTCTTGGCAGAGTTACTGGAGTGGTTTGTCATTTCCTTCTCCAGCTGATTTTACGGATGAGGAAACTGAGGCAAACAAGGTGAAGTGACTTGCCCAGGGTCGCACAGCTAGGAAGTGTCTGATGCCAGATTTGAACTGGGGTCTTCCTGACTCCAAGCCCAGCGCTCAATGCACTATGGCACCACCTAGCTGCCCATTTTAACTGAAGAAATCCACAAAGGCAAGAGAAGCAGGAGATGTTGGGGGTTGGGAGAGTAGATAGAATTAAGCAATTTGGCTAGAGTGTAGAAGGCTTGAAGAGGAGTTCATAGGTCGATGACATGGTACAGTGGAAAGTGTTTGCAGTCAGAGGTCCTAGATTCAAATACTTATTACCTGTGTGATTGTGGATAAGTCACTTCCACTCTCTCTGAGATTGAGCTTTCTCATCTGTAGAATAAGAGGGCGGGGTCTAGATAACCACAAATATCCCTCCTAGCTCTAAATCTAAGACCTTAATATGAGATAAAACTGAGAAGGTAGATTGATGTGCACTGATATGTAGTGGAGGGCACTGGATGTCAGACCCCAGCAGTCCAAATGTTGACCACAGTTGGAGAGTCAGAAGGGACCCCAAAGGCATGGAGTTGACTCATTGGACAGTAAGGAGCCCCTGAAGATTTGGCGGCAGACAAGGGACATGACCAGGGACAAAGAAGGAAATTTCTTCATTTAAAGTGAAAGATTGATCCACAGTTGATACAATACTTTATTCATTGATTGTAAAAAGAAATTATTTTTTCAGTGACTATTTTTCAAAACCTTCTTGTTCTTAGGGACGTAGCTTATATTTGGTATGAATATGGGAGGCACAATCCCCCTGTAAGAGCTTGTAATCCACCAAAGATAAAATACATACATAGACACTTATAGACAATAAATAAGTCAGAATGCAGGGAAGAAACATAGCCCTTTGAATGGGGAGATCAGAGAAGACAGCGTGGAACTCAAGCTGGGCCTTGAAGGATGGAGGGCATTCTGATAAGTCACTCTCACAAGCATGGGTTTCTTAGAACCAAAGGAGCAGTGTGGTATCATGGGAAGAGGCTGGATTTGGAAACTCGGATAACATGGGTTTGAATTCTGGCTCCAACATTTACTAGCTGTGTGAAACTCTCTGTCCTATGGTTCCCTGATCCATAAAGTGAAAGGGTGAAATTGGATGGGATCTGAGGTCCTTTCTAACACTAAATCCTTATGAAAATGCTTTCCTGTATGTTGGTGTTTTCTCCTTAAGTCTCCCTCTTCCTTCTTGACTCCCCCTTCCTCGTCACCCCCACTCACTACCTTGTTCTGGGATGCGCCTTTCTCCCGGCCGATTTGCATAGAGTGGCATTGGGAGGACACTCGGGAATGGCTTTGCCCTGCCTGCAGGGCTGAGTGTCTGCCTGCAGCTGAGTGCCCCTTCCCAGCTGTCTGTCTGTCTGTCCATCCGTCTGTCAGTGTCCACAGTTCAGTGTGACTGAGCCCTGATCTCATCCCCCCCCCCAGTGACTCCAGGCATGAAAATCTACATTGACCCCTTCACCTATGAGGACCCCAACGAAGCCGTGCGAGAGTTTGCCAAGGAAATTGACATCTCTTGTGTCAAAATTGAGCAGGTGATTGGAGCAGGTAGGTGGGCGGGGGCCCTCCCGGGCACCGTGGCCTCTGCCCTCCGGGATCCCCCTCATTGCTGGGAGAGCCCATTGCAGATGTGAAGGTCTAAGGGTGGGAGGAGGACTCCCCAGGGGAGTCCCAGGGGAACCAGGCTCAAGCCATCCACTTTGTTTCTCCCATTGGCCAAGGTCAACTCAATGAGGAGGCAATTTGTCACACCACTTCTGATTCTCCTTCCCTGGAGGTCTGGTTACTGTAGATGGAAGGGACGCTTAGGGTTAGGGTCCTGTGTCCGAAACGATTGGGTTGGTCTTTGGGAAGGAAAAGCAACAATCTTTGTAGAGCCCAGTGAGTGGAGATGACGTGGAAGAGAGGACTAAGGCAGAGCTGCCATCCTGGGAGTGATCTGCTGTCCCTTTTTGTCTGCTCGTCCCAGGGGAGTTTGGTGAAGTCTGCAGTGGCCACCTGAAGCTGCCAGGCAAAAGAGAGATTTTTGTGGCCATCAAGACCCTCAAATCGGGCTACACAGAGAAGCAGCGGCGGGACTTCCTGAGCGAGGCCAGCATCATGGGTCAGTTTGACCACCCCAATGTCATCCACCTAGAGGGCGTGGTCACCAAGAGCACACCAGTCATGATCATCACTGAGTTCATGGAGAATGGTTCCCTGGATTCCTTCCTCCGGGTAAGAGAGGGTAGAGCAGGCCAAGGGACTGAAGGGAAGGAAAGGAGAAGAGAGGAGGAGAGAGAAGCAGAAAAGGGAAAAGAATGTAGAATGTCAAAGCAAGACCCACTCATATTCATGCTACTTTACAGTCAAAGCACTTGTTTTACATATGGAGGTCAAAACTTTGCCGTTCAGATTATTGTCCTTGTCGCTCAGTCGTTTCAGTCATGTCTGACTCATCATGACCCCTTTTGGGGTTTTCTTAGTAAAGATACTGAAGTGGTTTGCCGTTTCCTTCTCCAGTTCATTTTACAAATGAGGAAACTGAGGCAGACAGGGTAAAGTGACTTGCTCAGGGTCACACAGCTAGTAAGTGTCTGAGGCTGGATTTGAACTCAGGTCTTCCTGACTCTGGGCCTGGCACTCTATCCACTGCACCACCTAGCTGCCCATCTAGTGGGGGTTATCATCACTCCAGTGGCCAGAATCACTTTGTGGAGAGACCCTAAAATCAAGATGCACTCATGCCCACCAGAGGCATGTCAAGTAACATTTTAATACTCACTATTCTTATATTCCCACAGATCAGAGCTCACACTAGGGGCACACCCAACCCTCTGAGCATCCATGGCCAGAATCATCCTTAAAATGCCAGGGATCCACTCCCGAAGACCCCATAAATGTACATTAACTCACATTCTCTCAGCTTTGATACAGCCAGGACGGCCAGGATATCTTCTAATCCCTCTCCTTATTTTTCCACACTAATGTCCTCCACCTGTTTTCTCACTATACTCAGTCTCTGCTTCACTCTTGGTAGAAATGCTCAGGGGCTCGGACTTCCTGACCTGCCTATTGCACTGATGACTAGTGTCAGGACATTGCGGGGAAGGGGTGGGAGGAGTGCTATTCACAACTACAAGCAGCTATGAGCTCTCTTCCACTCAGGCTTACAGCTGAAATCCCTTCATATTTTCTCAGAACGAACCTTAGATCATAGAATATTAGCACATGGGACTTTAGAGTAAAAGGAGATCTTAGAATATCAGAGTTGGAAGGGTTCTCAGAACAAAGAATATCAGAGCTGGGAGGGCCTTTAGAACATGGAATGTCAGCTGGGAGGGCCCTTAGAACACAGGATGTCACGTATATGAAGAAGGTAAGTCACTAGTTGTGACAGTGTAAACTGAGCACCATTCTGGTGACACTATCAGTGTTGCAAGCTTTTTAAAAAGGGAGAGATCCCTTTGGATGAACGAAGTCAAAGAAAGGTTTGTCAACGATCAAGGGCTTAAGATGGGCCTTGAAGGACGGACAGGACCAAGCTAAGTGAACAGGAACAAGGATTCCAAACTAGGGGAAAGGATAGGAGCAAAGCAGTGGGTCCATATGTCCATGTGGTATGTTTGAAGGCCACTGAAGACACTGGTCTTCCTGGAGAAGAAAGCTCCCAGAGGGCCTGGGCAGAGGGGGGGCCGAGCCTTAACTAGCTATTTTGGCCCCTGGGCAAACAGCACAAAGAATGCTTAGGGCATCAAACCACCCTGAAACCCACTTTGTAATTCATACCGAGAAAATCATATCAGGAGCAATTAGGAGAAATTCGTTTGAGCAAGAGTGGGAATTAGTTAGACAGTGGCTCACAAAATTACTCACGGTGCACAGGTCTAGCAGTTTGCTATTTTGACTAATTATTCCACCCACTAGGTGCTAAACTCCTTTGTTTCTGTGCTGGAGAAAGCCTAAAGTCCCTAATGTGAAGGCCCAGGAGCAAAACTCCAGGTGCCTTCTCTCTAGGTCTTTGTGGCCATGGCAGTAGCAGGTATGATCAGAGACTGAAGCAGGAGTTGGATTGTGAATTTGTAGCTTAAAAAAATAATCAGAAAAACTTGGGCTCCTTACAGATGATCCCAGCAAGTCACTTAAACCTCTCTGCACCTGTTTCTTCTGTCCATAAATAACAAAGCAAAGACAGCTCCAGCCTTCTGGGAGCTTACCTTCTAATGGGAGATACAGCACACTTCTTAGGGAAGTGGTGCACAGGGAGGAGTATTTTGGTCCAAAAAAGTTACCTGGACGTGGAGTGAGGCCACAGAGAAGTAGATGGGCTTTCAGGAACAATGGCAGATTTGAATTGTTCAGTTAGTTGATTTTACTAGAAGGGTAGCTAGGTGGCTCAGTGGATAGATCATCCACCCTGGAGTGAGGAGGGCCTGAGTTCAAATCCGGTCTCAGACACTTACAAGCTGTATGACCTTGGGCAAGTCACTTCACCCTGTTTGCCTCGGTTTCTTCTTCTGTAAAATGAGCTGGAGAAGGAAATGGCAAACCACTGCAGTATCTGCCAAGAAAATCCAGAGAGTTAGACGTGACTGTAATGACTGAACAGCAACAAACTAGAAGAAGAAAATCCCTGCAGCTGAGAGTTTACATTCTAGTAGGGTGCTAAAAAGGGGTGGAAGGGCCCTTAGAACCCAGAATGTCAGAGCTGGGAGGGGCCTTAGAACAGGGAATGTCAGAGCTGGGAGGGCCCTTAGAACAGGGAATGTCAGAGCTGAG